AATGGCCTCAAATTGTGCCAGGGAAGGTTCATGTTGGACATTAGGAAGAATTTCTACATGGAAAGTGTGGTGAAGGCTTGGAACAAGCTGCCCAGAGAAGTGGTGGAGTCACCATCTTGAGCTGTGTCCAAGAAACGTGTAGATGAGGCACTTAAGGACATGGTTTAGCAGGTGTGCTGTTGAAGGGCTCACGCTTGGACTCAATGCTCTTGAAAGTCTTTTCCAAACATAATTATTGTATGAAAATAGAGTCTGGGGCTGAATCTTGCCAAATTTTTTGTATTCCTTTCTTGTATAAGGAAGGCAAATGGTCCTCAATAAGCATACAGCATGCTCGGGGCAAGCTGAATGCATCTTCACCAGGCACTGTGGCCACAGTGCTATACAGATACTCACTAATCTTACAAGGGAAATGGCACATGTTTTCCTCTCTGCTCTCCAGCCTCTCCAGGCTGCTGCAGCATGTTTCACAAGGAGACGACAAGAAAGGTGCTGCAGATGTAACGGGATTGAAACGGGGACTGCTCTGTCATTTTCCACACTACTTGGATGCCTGAGAATTCTTGAAATATCGCGGAAATGCTGCATTTTTTTTTTTAAAGATTGGTTAAAAGAAAACCCTCACTGACTTACTGCGCTTACTCCATTAAAATAATCTGCAGACACTGGCCTCGCAGTTTAACTGTCACATATTTTGATAGCCCTTATGGACCAAGAGGGAATTCTCTCCTCTTTGAGCGTTATCATATAACCTCATCAGAAGCCAGGCAGCCTCCTTACCCCAAACATTTTGCAATTTGCATATAGATTGTTTGGTGCCAGGGCTCGGAAGAAGATCCTTCCCAGCTCCGTCAAACAAGTCTTGATTGTCGTTTAGCACCACGGCAGTCAATTTATGTTCCCATTAATGTGGATCCCAGACAATTATCTGAGGAAAGGAAGGGGAAAAAAATCTTAATAAATTGCCCCTGCTGTCTGCTGTGCTTATTTCCAAGTGGGTGGCTGCAGGGCAAATCCAGCATATTAAGGAAGAGGAGCTACAGTGAGGGGGCGACCAAAAGCATGGGGCCGAGCATGCTGATCCCTCAGGTCTTCTCCGAGCATCTCTGGGAGACACGGGGCTGGCATTAAGGGTTTGGTGCTTCACTGGCATGGCAATGGTGCAGTTTGGGGGGGGCACTGTTTTTAATAAGGCCCATTTTTATCTCTGAGGGGACCAAGACAGAGGTTAGGTGGCAGATGGACACTCTGCCTGCTCCACACTGAGGGACACCGGCTGTCCCTGCCTGAGGTTAGTGGGTCCCGATAGGGCAGGGGCAGTAAAGAAGCGTGGTGAATGTTTTTGGGAAGAATAGCCTCTGGTAATTGGAAATACATCTGTGACTGTTTGGAAAGCTATTTCTTTTTGCTACATGAAAGGCCGGGATGTGAGGACATCTCCAGCCGCTATCGGCGCTTGGCTCGCCGGCTCGCGCAGCTCATTTATTTGGCTTGGCGCGGGCTCGCCGCACCTCACACCCGCCAGCCGCGCCGCGGTCCCCGGGGCTGCCGGGGCAGGATGAGCGCCCGGAGCCAAGACACCCTGCGCATGGTGTCCAGGTGGCTCCGCTCCCTGCGCAGCACTCGAGCCGCAAAGCGACTTCACGACCCTTATTTTCCTTTTAAAACCTGTCCAGGACTCCTGCTGGGGCTGGCAGAGGGCCCAGTGCTCTGCTGGCCCTGTGGTAAAACGTAGCTGCGCCGCTCTGTGGGGTCACGGAGGCAGTTGGGTGCCCGAGTGAAACCCACTGCTCTTTCCTGTGGACCTACGGAGCTGCAGCACTTTTGTCCAAGCAGAAGTTAGGTGCTTCATGCAACTTTCTTGGGCTATTTAGCCTGGTAGCCTTAGGATCTCCCTAGGACTCCTTAGGGTTCTGAGCAGACTTCAGTTGGCGCTTCATAGAATGACAGAATCATTAAGGTTGGAAGGGACCTCTAGAGATCATCTAGTCCAACCCCCCTGCACACACAGGGTCACCTAGAGCACGTGGCACAGGACTGCATCCAAGAGGGTTTTGAAGATCTCCAGAGAAGGAGACTCCACAACCTCTCTGGGCAGCCTGTTCCAGTGCTCTGTCACCCTCACTGTTAAGAAATTTTTCCTTACGTTCCTGCAGAATTTTTGGTGTTTCAGTTTGTGGCCGTTACCTCTAGTTCTGTCAGTGGCCACCACTGAAAAGAGGCCAGCACCATCCTCTTTACTCCCTCCCTTGAGGTATTTATATACACTGATCAGCCTTCTCTTCTCCAGGCTGAACAGGCCCCCTCCCTCAGCCTCTCCTCACAGGGCAGATGTTCCAGGCCCTATTTACTTACACCTCAGAACATACTTAGGAGACCCTTGGTGCCTGTGTTTGGGCTAGAGGTTTGTGTTTCTCACCTGCAGTGTCCTGTGCAACAGCCCCCTTGTTTGCTCTTTGAGGCAGCATGGGCCTTTTTGGAGGAGAGTAAGGAATCCCTGTGGGTGTCCTGCATGATAACAAGGAAAAACAATGTCTGGGATGGAGCAAGACGTCTGCAGAGGGCAAACCACCTAAAGGCACAGTGCCTGTTTCTCTCATGGGTACAGAACAGCAGGTCAAAAAAATCTCAAGATTTCAAAAAAACAGAACTACCAAAAGAAAATGCAGAAACAGATTCTGTCTTCTGATCGGGCATCCCTTGCCTTTAGCTGTCTTATACTTACACGAGACTTATGCCTGAACATAAAGGAAACATATGTTCGTTCAGAAGGAACAGGGTTTGGAAAGGGTTTTTTTTGCTTATTTTCTTTAAGAATCTCGGTGGCTCTTACAACGTCTAGTCACTTCACTAACAATAAAGACAAAAAAATCTCCATCAAGTTACCTTAATGTTTATTTTATTTAAAGAATCAGAAACACAGTCATTGTAGTTCATTTGTACTCATATCCGCCAACATTTCCTAAATCACGTTAACATTCATGTTTAACAAAAAACATTTTCTGAGCTGTGCAAAGTTCAAAGGATTTCTTCAATTACTTGAACCCATTTCTAGAACAAACCTGACATTTTACAAACGGAGGCCACCAGAAGGATATCTTTCTTTTTCCCCCTGTTGTAGGAGGCAAAAACACCCCCTCATCTCCATTTCCTTTATATGTCATGACTTTCCAAATGGGACTGGGGCACTTTCTTGTATCACTGATCTGTGCTACGTTCTGCTCTTGTGCTCCTTGCATGGAAGTGATTTGTCCAAGAAGATTACTCAATAACCCAAACAATCAGCAGTAAACAGGGGCCAGAAACAGCCGCTATCAAATATATATATAAATATATATATATATATATGCTTTAAAGCACTAATTTCACAACACAGCATCTGTTTGTTTTCCTTTATCTTCTTCCCTACCAATTTTTGTCCTCTTGGAGTTAAGCACTAAAACATGGAAATCTGGAAGCATTTTAGATCTGGCTACACACAATAGGCAGCAACCAAGCCGTCATCCTGTTTCATTTTTTCAGAGTGTAGTAAATTCACTCCCCGAACAGAATTTTAAGAGAACTTTAACTGCTCTAAATTGTCAGAAAAAATCTCCTTGTCTCTGACAGATCTAACCCAGGATTTTTTATTGGACTCAGTAACATACATTTTGGCTTTACTAACTTGCTAACTGTGCGGTTTACTGCTTGGGGTGCAGTGATACCAATTCTGATTTGGCCCAAATAACTGGACAGATATGGCTCTATTCTCAAACCAGTCGTTGCAGAAGACATTTCTTCAATCTCTTATTGGTTATAAAAAGGCAATTTCCTCTCAACAGTAACTAAACTTTTTAGTGGCTGACTCATTACAATCTGGAATATGAACAAATGCGGCAACGTTAAGTATAAAAAGAAACACCCTGAAAATAATGCCTCCCTGCTTGAAGGTGCTATGCTTGGCCATGGACTGTGTTTCTGGGATCTGGTTGTTACATGTGACAGCAAGAAGAAACTTATTTTACAGAGAACAAAGTCACAGAGCTGAACTTAAATAGTAACATTCACTTCTATGTGTTCTGATGTGTCCTAGTATACACGGCTTGAATGGGAACAGAACTTACACCTTTGCATATGAAATACTGGTAATGCAGTAATGATGTTCACCCACCGGGCCTCTTTCTTTTAATAAGATCATCTCCAGGTTACAGTGCCTCCGACACGCTTTTAAACGACCACCACATGTTGGCTTTGGCAAAGAGCCAGCCCCTGGGAAAGGCAAGGTACAGATACAGCTAAGAAAATTCTTTCATCACATTTCATTCATCAAGAATTAATTTCTTTTTAAATACTTTCACAATTACACTTTTTTTTTTCTCCTTGATATGAATAACTGACTGAACTTGCTTTACATTTATTGCACCTTTAAGTCCCTGGTAGATGGAAGCTTATATTGCCTGATACTTCTTGTATTGTAGCTTGACCACGTTTAGAAACTGAACAGTCTCCAGAACTGTACATTTCTACAGTGAGAAATCACATTTCGATAATGATAATTACAGCTGTCGCAGCTCAGCTCTCGTCTCTGTGATGCAGCGACAGAGGAAATTTCCACAGTCCCTGTGTGCACTAGAACCTGCAGTGTTCTTCTTATTGCCATGAAAAAGTCAATTAAAACGACTCCTCTGGGAATTACATCCAATTCTGGAGTAATTATCACTCTCTGGTCAGCACTCTCTGTGCTGTGCTTTAGTGTGGGTCGTCCGACACTAGAAATACACGTGGGAGTGTGAGCGTGTGCTTATTGCACACACATCCTCCTTCAGGTATGTTTATCACTGACCAAGCAGTTTTCCTGGTGTTTTTTTTTTTCCTTTTTTTTTCCTCTATGAAACATGAACCAGCCAGTCTGATCTCGATCTTCAGGTGCGTTTCTAACTTCATACGTTTAATGCAAATCTCGTTGCAGCCTCTGCTTAACCAAACCGAATCATTAACAGTTAAAAAGAATAGCACCAGATGTATGAAAAAGAGGAAATGTCTGATCTATTAGGAATATATATAAAGTATAACAATTCTTACAGTAAAAAGGTACGTCATACAAAAAAGCAATGGAAAGTGATACTGACGGACGAAAATCCATGCTGCATATAAGAAGGGCAGAAGACAGGCAAAAGGGATTCTGCTCAAATAACCACAGCTGCACGGTGGAGCTGATCTTCCTCCAGGATCTTCCCAGCGATAACACTGGGGCACCGAGTGATGTGGGACTCTGAGCACTGACACGTTTACTGACAAACTCTCGCAGCATATCTTTGAGGTATATAGAAAGCATGACACTAATGTTTTGGACTCTTCATTCTTTCTTGCATGACGATGCACAAATCTTACCTGGGTTTTTCTCCACCCTCCCCTCCCTCTTTTGCCCTCACGAAAAACAAAATCCCAGTTTAAGAGCTTCCTGGCACACCTCCGTGAACTCTCAAATCCATCTTGCATAGGCCAGTAATAAGAACACTGCAGCTCTGACAAATAAGTTACAGCAATATAACAACTTTCCTCTTACTCTTTTTTTAAAGATATTTTCTCTATAATTTACACAAAGGGTTAACAGCTGGAGTTCGGGTTACGTACAGTCCAAACGGGCGTCCTTTCAGTCCGTGATTCCCGGTGGAAGGCACTACTTCAACATACCACTGTATGCACCGCACGTGGCCTCAGAAGCACAGCGGGGCGCTCTGTCTCCAGAGCTGCAGACTGGAGGGCCTGGGGGAGTCTTTGGAAATAAAAATGGCAGTGGTCATCAGTCAAGTTTCCCTTTGCTGTCTCTTCTTGTGCTCTGGGATCTCCCCTGCAGGCCCCGCCAGGTGGCAGAGTTCTCCTCAGAAGCTCTCCACGAAGCTGCCGGGGAAGAGGCCCGTCCTGCCGTTCCTCTGTAGCGTCCCTTTGTACCAGCCGTCCTCCCGCTTCTTGTGCACAAACACGATGTCGCCTTCCTTCAGCTCGATCTCGGCCTCGCTCTGCGGCGGGTAGGGCACCACAACACGGTACCTGTGGAAACAGAAGCGCAAAGGCTGCGTCAGGCGCAGATCTTGTGCCCAACCCACGCACGGACGCAAGCCTCTGCAGGTTTGGCCATGGGGTTTGCTATTTGGCCTCCCCTCTTGGCTTCTGCCTTTTCTGGCCACGCCAGACCCCTCTCAGTGGGGCCCACTGAGAGGATAAGAGGCAATGAGCGCACACTGAAACTCACGGAATTCCACTTGAACAGAGGCAAACACTTCTTTACCATGAGGGTCGTCACACTGGAACAGGTTGCCCAGAGAGCTTCAAAGCTTGTCTGGGCACAGCCCTGGGCTGCGCTAGGTGACCCAGCTTGAGCAGATTATCTCCAGAGGTCCCTTCCAACCTCAGCCATTCTGTGATTTTGTGTTACACCGGCCTGGCCCCCCACCCTTCTGATGCTCCTGGTCGGATCCAAAGTGCTGGACCAGAGGATAGGCCGGCTGATGAAGAGGGAGATTGTCCCCAAAATCTTACTGAAGTGAGTGCATTGCACGGCCCTTGCAAGTCCGTTTTTACTAAGCAGAGCCTTTCCCTGTTTTTGGTGCTGACCAACAAGTAAGAGCTAAAAGCCAGCTCTGCTTTGACGCTCTTTGCTCCTTTCCCTGGGAGCGCTAATGAAGTGTCAGCACCGGCAGCTGCCTGAAATCCCACATCAAGTCAGCCTGCTCCAGGAAAGAAAGGTGGGCAGGTTTCCTTCTCCTCCTCCTCTCCTTGCCTTTTCCAAGCCCTCGTGCAGGCTCCTGCCGTGCTCCGCAGGCTGGTTTCACAGCCAGGCGGCCACAGCAGTTCCTGCTGGTTCAGAACTCAAACAGGACAAAAGTCAGAACATGGGAACATTTTTATTGATCAAAAAATGACTTTGTTTCAAGTCTGAAACAACCATCTCACCTCCCCCTCTTTGTTTTTCCCAGAAATCTTGGGAAAAGCACTTTTTGAAACATCATTAAGCTGTATTTTCACACAGAAGAGTATATATATATATCTGATACAGCTCTATATCCTATAGAAAAAATCAGTATCATGGGAGGATTTCTGGCCAGTTTGACCTCACTGGGATATATGCTAGGTCTGGACCATAAAAGCAAGCAGGTACTGTTAAATGTCTAACTAACCATGGAGCCCCTGTTTCTGAAGGGCTTTGTGGGCCTGCATGAGGGACACGGGGCTCCCTCCCAGCGCTGTGTTTGCTCCTGCTGTGACGTGTCTCACTCACCACTGCATCTGCGGCACCGAAAAAGGGAATCTGCAGTGCTGTGACCTTTGATATCACCACAGGTCAGTGACAACAGCTCAAGTTTTTCTTCTTATTATGCATCCTGTGAATGCACTTTGGGTCCCTCAAACCTAGAAAGAAGCTAAAATACAGAGATATCAAACGACTTTCTAAGCACGCTCCAAGCCAAGGGGGAGTCCCAGTCCCAAAGCATTCACAGGGCTCTCTAGGCACTTAGTCTTCAAGTGCCACTTCATTTTAGAGAAGTAATGATGGGTCTGATCCTGAGACGGCTCTTCTGCACGCAGGCTCATCCCCAGGCACTGTCCTCCTGAAAACAGACCGGGCTCTTCCACATCAGGGCACTTGTGCACGGAGCAGGGAACGTATTTTTAGGGCACTCCTTCCTAAGCACAGGTACTTCCGCAACCATCTGGCATTTGCTTAATGATCAATAACTGCCTTGCTAATTGCAAAGTAATGAATAGGCTAAGAGAGTTAAAAGATGCCAATTGATTATCCGAAGTCCATCTCCTGATGATTAATGCTTCCACAGCCACTGCATTGCCACTGATGCCCCATTCATGTTTGTTAAAAGGCAAGTATTTATTTAAAATAATATCTTACCTTTCAGACCTCACTGCATTGTGCACTGACAGGTCTGTGGCACTTCCTGTGGCCATTCCCAGGGGGATAGCATCAAAGCAAGGGGCTCTTGAGTGGCAGTCATTAATTTTCTTTGTGGACATGGCTTTGGCACTTACTTAGTGATTGCTGTTCTGAAACCAGAGGCTCCATTTTGACATGACAATGAAAATATTAGATTTGGCTAAAGGAGATCTCCACGGCCAAACATCCTCTCATTGGAAACACATTCAACTCCATTTGGAGCACAGGTTCTGCTCTAAAACATGACTACAGCCTTGTTATCCTGGCATGGCAACACAGTCATTTAGGAAATACAGGTGCTCAAGTGCCATCAAAAACCTGCTGGCCATTTCTGCCCCTTGGCCTATAAATCTGGTTGTCCCTGCTTTCCCCAGTGTAAAAGCAAATAACAGAAGTTGAAACGAGTGCTGCAGGATGCCTGCAGGAAGATGGACCATCACGCTGTCTATCGTCATACACGCGGCTATCCTTACATTAGGAACCTTTGCCAACTACAGCCATTATGCAAATGAATGCACACATTATTTCAAACACTCTGCCTCAATGTTGATTAATTAAAATAACCAGAGTGGTACAATTTCAGCTACGACGATGCCACGTTTCCTACCTCACAACTGTACAGACAGTCTCAGCACGCGAGCACTCTGCTCCGGGATCTCAGAGAGCTTTGAGGAAACATGGGATCCAACCCTGGCAGAGGCCAAGTCATGTGCAGGGACTGACAGCTAAGGAAACAGAGATACAGGTGCATGGGACGCGTGTAAGGTCACCCCCAAAACCCATCTGGGAAGCCTGTATGAAGGCATCCTCCTAAACACAGACTGCAGCTCACTGCCAACGCCTTGCCAGTCCCTACATGGGTCTCATTAGCAGAGAAGCCACCCTGCTCAACAAGAATGGGCCCATCTCCATCGGATGGATTCTCCAGAGCATTTCCTTATGGACTTAAAAAAATAAATCTCAGCCATGGTATTACAAAATGAAGCACTTCTTGCCATTTAAGGAAGCCCAAAATGTTACGGTTTAATTTCAATTAACTGCGGTACCTCATACGATAACACTGAAGTAATTTTGATGGTAAAAAATGAAATCTTAGGTATAAAAGACCTTGCTACAAAATTTTCCATGGAAGTCAGGAAAAGATGCTTGCACTATTTTCCCTTAGGATGGTTTGGGAGCACAGCCTTGGAGAGCCTGAGCAACTGAGGTTGCAACATACAGAATAAATGATCACACGGTGCTGCTGCCGGCAAGGGACTGACAGGCACCACAAATCCCTCCTGTCAGAGCATGTGATGCCAATGGGAACCTCCAGGTGGCATTTCAGCCTAGTTTTTTTTCTCTGGAATTTAACTGCATATGTATATATTAGCCACATTTTTGGGCAGAAAAGATCTCTTTTCCCTCCCATGCATCCTCTTCACTCCCCAAAAGACAGTCCTATAAACTTCTATTTATATCCCTTTTTCTCATTTCCCTCATTCTTTGAGAAAATACCATAAAATAGCAGGTTTTCTTACACCAGACTGCTTTCTGGCATCTTACACGGATCTCAGAAGAACACTGATTTTTTTCCATGTCACATTACACCTCTAAATTACCAGCTTTTTAAAATGCTAAGCGGCTATGTAATGACCACAGTTACAGGTGGGGCAAGCAGCTCTGCCTATTATTAAGGGTGTTTGGTATTTTCTGTTGTAATTGCATACTTTCAGAGAGTCATAATTTTCCCAATTGTTACCCAAATTGGACAAAACTCTCTATTTCAGTTCACTATATGAGGCTGAGGGTCCCGCACGCAGTCCAAGTTGTTTCATCACTTCTGGGAATGACACGAGGATGTTTTTGCAGTGCTAACAGATCTGCGATTAGGGCTTCCACAAACTGCTCTTGCCCTCCAAACTCTGCAGCAAAGACAGGGTTTGTGGTCCAGCTGGTCTGTCAAGGATGCTTTTCCTTTAAAGAACTACCCACTCTTCGCCAGGTTAAAATCTTTCAAAACATCCCAAAATGTCACATCCTTATTAGAGATTTGCAGGAGCACTGAGGGTTAAATCTCTGTTGATTCATGCTCCAGAGTATCCTAGCTCCTACAGAACCTCTGAGGATGCTTTTTTCTTCTTTTCCCAGCAATGAGTCCTCTCCTCTCTTCCTCTCAGTGCCTCCACCGATGCTGCCCTTCCCTGGGGCGGGCTGTGATGGCATCCCCAGTTGGGTGCATTTGCTGAACCAAAGGATGAAGCTCTTGACACAGGCATAGAGAAGATGAGCACCACAGTGGGATGACAGGGCAAGGAAGAGGGATGGGGAGAGCAGCCTGAGGACAGCCTGGGAGCTGGCCTGGGGAAGGTCCTCAGTGCTCAAGGCTGCGAGCAGTATCTGTAAGGCCAGGGGACTGCGTTTCCCTGAGAAGAGAAACGTCAGGATGTTGGAGAGTGAGGGAATGCAAGGCAGGGGGTGGAGGGAGGTTGATCCTGGATGAATTAAGGGAGAAAGACTGGGAGCTAAGGAAAAACTGGGACTAGGGTGAAAATTGGAAGAACCAACACAAGGTACAAACATGACTGCAGAGGGGAAAATTGTGCTGAGCTATGACTGGCAGTATGAAGGGCCTCAGTGGGAGAGAGCCTGGGGCTGGACACAGCACCCCATGGGGCAGAGGGTGGCACTGGGGCTGAGGGGAGAAGGGTCTCCAGCAGCATTCCGCCAAAGAGGGCTGGAAATGGGTCAGAACTCACCGTTCCTCTGCTGTGACCTGTGAAACCTGGTGTCCTGTGACTTACTGTGCTTACCCTCATCACCAAATGAAATGCTGCTCCCAGCCAGCCATCCCTTGGCTACAACCACTGACATCTGCAAGGTAGAGCTAAGAATTCCTAAACTCAAATAGGTTAAATGAGGGGATTTCTGGTTTCACTTCCTTTAAAAAAAGCAAAATATAGATGCATAAGGACATCCACCACTTTAAATAAACACAAATGTTCCACAGTCATGCATCTGAGATGAAGAAACAGGCAACTAATATTAGCTGCACTTTTGCTTGAACACATAGAGTCTTTCATTACAGGATCACCCACTATTTTTCCCACTGAACCCCTGCCTA